GGCCTCAGGAGAAATCCAGCCAGCCTCCGGATCTGTGAGAAAATAAAATTCTGTTGTTTAAATCATCCAGCCTGTGGCATTTCGTGAATGTGACCTTAGCAGACAAATATACTGTGGCTCCCTCTGAGACAGAAGTGAATCTAAATACAAACTCAGCCATTTACTAGCAGAGTGGTTTGGGCAAAGGCATAGAGCTGTTTAGGCCTCCATTTCCCCATCTAGGAATAGAAATGGTGCCACTGGCTCCTACATACTGTTGCTTTGAATATTTGGGGAGTGAATTGAGAGAATAGATTTAGAGGTCTGAGCATGATGTCACATACATAGTAAACCCTTTATAAATATTAACTTAATTACAATTTTTATTATTCTGAATTCATAATACAACATGAGACTTTTTATTCTTAACACTGGCAGAAACTATGTTACAGAAATATGTGTTGTTTTTCTTTCAAAACAAAGAAATCTTAATACAACACCAAAAGAAAGATTCAGGAATTGCTACTTTGACTTGATTCTACTCATTTTCCATCAACGAGTATTCCCACCTAGGTTACAAGTTTCTGCAGCTCATCCACTAGCCATCTTCTTCAGGCTCTGAAGTTGCAGATATTCTCCCAACTCTCCTCCACTTTCTCATCTGGAAATAAAGACAGCTACCACTCTCTGAAGAGGGGTCCAATGTGTCTGCAAGACAGTACCTTCAAAAGGCGCAGGGGAGACTGAAGAATGCAGTGTAAATTACAGAAAACTTGTTAGCAGTCCTTCACAAGGCCTTATTAGTGGGAATGGTGCTTTGCTGGGCACTTCAGAAGAACAGGTATTTTGAAACCTCATGAATTTTTTGGGTTTTTTGCAGTAGTAAGGACTGAACACAGGGCCTTCATAGGGACCTCTATCTCCAACCCAGGCCTTTTTAAAATTTATTTATTTATTTTGAGACAGTGTCTCGCCAAGTCTTCAAGTTGTCCAGGCTGGGTTTAAACCTGCAATGTTCCTGCCTCAGCCTCCCCAAATCCTGGGATTACAGGCATGCAATTAGATGGAGAAGATAGTGAGAAACGATTTCATCACTGCAGCATTTCAAATTCATGGCCAAGTTCTCTAGCTGCTATGGGGGCAGAACTACAGGAAAACAAACAGCAGAGCCTTGAGTCAGATTCACCAGAAAATGTTCTGGCAAGCAAAATTCCTCAATATCAGAAGTCAGAGGGGGGCGCTGTTCTTCAAACTCAATCAGCTTGAGGTGGCATCAAAACACTGCCCAGGCACATGTTCCAGGGATATTTTGTTGCTCTTGTAGAACGTTCAAAGGTTTGTTCTTGGTCTGGGGATATAGCGCAAGGGTAGGGGGATTAGCCTCAAGTGTACGCCCCAGGGCTCACTCCCCAGTACCGCAAAAGCAAAACAAAGATTTTTTAATTTTTGCAGGGCCGTTGCTTTGGCTTATTTCAAACATTTACAGATTAAGCTGAGCTGGATGATGCACATCTGTAATCAAAGTATTCTTGGAGGCTAAGGCAGAGGGAATCACAAATTTGAGCACAGCCTGGACACCTTATGACTTAGGAAGACCTTGTGTCAAAATAAAAATAAATAAAATAAACAGTTCTGGGGATATAATGCAATGCAAAGGCTCTAGGTTCAATTCCCAACATCATGCACGCACACACTTGGGCACGCGCACACACACACACACACACAGACACACACAGCTTACAGGTCAAGCAGTATACATTCGTTTCCTCTTTTAATTTTTATGGCAAATAAAGCAGAATGCAAAGCTTAATGAAAAGAATGAGTTTTAAGCCAAACTATTCTGGATTTAAACTGTGGCTGTACCACCTCTAGCTAAGCCTTGTTTGTTTTATCCAAATGAGGTTAATAACCCACCTGCCAGAGATTTAATGTGGGTTTGATCATCATGTATGTAAAATACCTGACGAACAGTGGAACCCAATAGATAAGGAGTTATCACTACTGTTGTTGCTGTTCTCATAGCCATAATGCATATTTAAAAATAGACACAGAAAAATTAAACAAGCCTCCTGAGGTCTCTAACTCAGTGAGAAATAAATTCAGATAGAGCAGAAACTCCTTAGTATCTGTTCCTCCTTACCAGTCTCTTTCTTGGTTTCAGAATTTGTTGTAAAGAATTATTCAGGGTCAGTGTGCCCAGTTAAGAGACCGTCTCTTGTTATCCAGTCTCCCTTTTTGTGACAGAGAAACGGTGAAATGCAAACAGAAGATTTTAGGGGGGACATAGAGAAAGTCTCCTTCAGAGGATGACGGACAGCTGGCATACGCCCTTTTAACCCATCTAGGTACCTGGCTGAACTGTAAATGAGATTGCTGATGGAGCTCTCAAAGCAATGCTGGAACATGAGGCCAGCCCCATACTAAGGACAATGGACTAGCAGGCTAGAAGGAACACGGGTCTTGGAAGAACTTGGAGCTCCCATCTGGTGTGCTCATTTCCGAATTTGTTTTATGTAAAAGAATAAACTCAGGGTTTAAAATACTGTTGTTTCTGGCTTCTGTGACTGGTAGCTAAAATACAATTTTTAAACAATAACATTAAGTCTTTCCGACGCTAAGGCTGGGCAAAGCAATTAGGGTGAGCTGCTAATTCTGTCCTTGGGAAAACCATCAGTCCAGGCAAACCAATAGAGTTAGTCATCCAAAACGCATGCTTCCTCTCAGAATAATACAATTAGCAAAACATAGTTTTAATTTCATCTTACATAAAGAATACCTTCTCTCATAAACAGGAAAATAGATGTTCTTGTTGCATCCAATTCAACAGATATTTTACGAATGCATAAAGTAGTAGAGAGTAAATGTGGACAAGGGTCCTGTAATCAGGTTGTAGTCAATTTGCTATCTAAATCGTATTTGTTCATTCATTCATTCGTTCAGTCAGTCACTCACTCACTCAGCAAAATTGTTAAGAATCTTCTAAGTACTAGGAATGATAACAACCAAAAATAAACATTCTTCCTCTCAGGGAGTTCGCATTGTGTTTGAGGGAGATGAAGATAATAAACAAATGAATAAATAAGCAGATAAAGTTATGTATATGTACTGGGCAGAAAGAGAAGGTCAATCTAAATAGGTCATGTTGGAATGGAGACCTTCCTGCCAAGAAGGACCTAGTCATCCAGACAGAGGGACAGCAAATGCAGAGATGAGGTGAGAGCTATAGGGTATTCTGGATGACATCAAAACGGGCAATAAGGCTGGGGAGAGTAGAAAGTATGGTGGGAGTAGTGAGAGAAGACATCTTAGAGAAGTGTCAGATCAGCCACGTCTTGGAAACCACGACAGTAAATTTTGATTTTTACTTTAAGTGCAGCATGTAAAATGGTGAGTTTTTGGAAGATTCTAAAGGAGGAAGTTAGAAGATCTGATTCCAGGCTTTAAAAGATTACTCTGACTGCTGGGCAGAAAGTGGATTGTGTACCACTGGTTAAGGGTCGCACAATGACAATGTATTCACATGGGAAACAAATACAGCAACATGGTATCAGGTACTGAATTTGCAGAGGAATAGGCTGTTTGGGGATATATTTTAGACCTATGATCACTTCACTTATTGTGATGGTTTGTGTCTGGATGTCCCCCCTAAGCCTCATGCAGTCAGGGGGCGGGCTTCTAGAGTTTATGATGGATTCATGGTCCAATGCTGGGATTATGGGTGTGCTACATGTGCCCTGGGGTGGGGAGGCTGCATACAATGTAAGGGAGGGAAAGAAGTTCACTCTTGTTGCTCCCCCCTTTTCGCTCTTGCTGCTTTTGCTGTCTTCCACCACCATGAACAGTTGCCCTCTGCCATGTGCCACTCTCCCTTGGTGCCAGCCGAAACTGAAACCTCCACAAACTGTGAGCTAAATAAACCTTTCCTTCCTTAATTTTGGGCATCAGATATTTTGTCTCAAGAACCAGAGAAAAGTAATCAAGACAGAGGAGTTGCATTTTATACCAGCAAACAGACTCTCTGTTTCGATACAACATCCTTTGAAACTTACTATGTTGCTCAAAATTTGTCTAAAAAATATCATTCTTTTGGATTTCTTGATCTTGGACTGACCATAATATTATCTGCACAAAAAGAATCCCTACTGCACAAACAGGCAAAAGCACCTGTACCTTTCTGACATGTTTCACATAACTTTACTAACTTTTCCTAGCATTTCACCTTCCTATCCTAGCACCATATGGAAATGAAGTAATGGGAACAATATGGTCTAATCCAAAGATCCCCTAGACCAAGCAGTTGCTTCACAATCAAAATGTTAATTCTGAATAAATTAGAAAACCTCACCAGAACGGTATAATGCGGTGCACCATTTACCTCTGAACACATGTTCTCGCCTTTTCTCTATTTTTATGTCTAGAACACCTCGTTCGCGGGAGCAAAAAGATGAAGTCAGTGTGTGGGAACCTTTCCCCATGCTGCTTAGCTGCTAATGAAGTCTGCAAGTCTTCTAAGCCTAGAGGAGGTTGACTTCTCTTTCTCCACTCTTTATTACCTTCATTCCTCCTATCTCTTCTCTACTTTCACAGAAGTACATTAATCATGAATGACTAGGAATAGAATGGTGTGGATTACAGGAGGTCTTGGTGCCACTGGTATCTGACTGGTTTTTATTTTCATAAAACTTGGCATAACCGCTAGAGTGATGTGTCCGCAATGTGACATGGGAAGGCAGGGCTTATCCTGCTCACTAGTTGGGAAGCCCTGGATTAGTGAACCTAATTTCCCAGAACCTTTGCTGAACAATGCATGTGAAAGTACTCTGCAAATGTTATGATATATCATCATTTTTCAAACGAAAAAAACTGAACAAGTAAATTATGGTGCATAAAAAGTGAAACATTTATTTTTCCTGTAACAATTTACTCCTTTACAAATAACTATTTTCTCAAGTATTTAAGAGCAGAAAGGCTTTAATAATGGGAGATTGGATAATGAACACATACACAAATACCAGCCAACTTTTATCAATCATGATAACATTAATAATAATAACACCTGACATTTATCCAGTGCTGAGCGTTTGCCAGATTTTAAGTGTTAGCTCACTTATTCTCTAAAAAGCTCCAGATGGCAGATGCTACTATGGTCCCCATTTTACAGGTGAGGAAGCAGAGGCATAAGAGGTGAATCCAGTTGTCACATGAAATGTTCGGGTGTGAATCTCAACATTCTTGGTCCCTTCCGTTCACACAGGATTTCTGTGCAGGACGATAGCCCTATAGTCCACCTGTAATTCAATTTGCTTTTTTTCCAAAAACATATATCATTTCTTGAAGACTGGCTGCCTATTTTTGTTGAATGTTAAAATACTACTGGACAATGTTAGTGGAGTGGAAATATTCAAGATGAATGCTCCCGAGGCACTGCACCAGGCTTTCCACTGCAGCTTAAATCCTTCCTAATCTGACTTTCCATCAAGTCCTGGCGACTCATGACAGGCTAATGACTTCTTCCCCCTAAGAGGCTTTCTCCTTCAGTCTGCTCCTGCCGTCCTCATGTGGTAATCTGGGATTAGAGAAAGAACTTCAAATGTGAATTTGCTGCTGCACGGTTCTGAACTCCCTGAAGGAGACGGTTAGATACAGGCAGACTAGTAATGATAGCATGCAGAACAAAGTGCCCGGAGATCCTTTCTCTCACATACCAAATGCAATGTTTGTAGCCCTTGGCTACTTCTGAAATGTACAGCAAAAGAGTGAACGTGCAGCTAGGCACAAGAAACTAATCCGTAGCTCTCTGGGGCACCTTAGCATTTTACTCAGCATTCTGTGCTACTGTACACTGTATCGCCAAAGAGCTACCATTCAGCTCCAAGTTTGGAAGACAGGAAACAGATGACAATGATGGTTAATTTCATATGTCAGCCTCACTGGACCATGGGATTCCCAGATTATACATCATCATCATCATCATCATTATTCAATATTGTTTCTGTTGTACCTGTCAAAATGTTCCAGATGGAATTAGTTTGTCTGAATCAGTGAACTTGGTAGACTGTGCTTCCCAGTCCACTGGCAGCCCAAACAGGACAAAATGTGGAGAAAAAAAGAATTTGTTCCTTTTCTTTCTGCTTCACTATTGGAGGTGGAAGATCTCAGTGTCTCCGCATCCAGACTAAATGACATCACAAGTTGTTCTGTGTTTCCAGCTGCCAGAAGGCAGAAGGTGGGACTTCTCAGCTTTCATGATCATAGGCACTAATGCCTCATAATAAAAATTCCTTAGATAGATAGATACATAGATACATACATACATACATAGATATATAGATAGATAGATAATATCCTATTGGTCCTTTACTTCTGGATAATTCTGGGTAATATAATCATCAAGGGACAATAAGTAATAGCTATTCATATATTCAGCAAAACAGCACCTCTGGGTAAAACAGGAAGGAAGCACTTTTCATTTTGATAACTTTTGAAAGCACAGTGTGCAGAAAGGACCAAGAGAGGATGAGATTTGGATCAGCTAGTATTTAGTAAACATCTACTCTAAGGGAGTCCCTGGATCAGATGCTTGCTGATACAGTTTCTTATAAAATGCTCATAAAGAACAAAACAAACTGTACATTCAAGTTACCTAGGCTTAATATTGAAATGTAACAGAGAAGCTACAGCTGATCAGAAACACTTTGGGATTCTCTACCATCTCCTCACTCAGGGCTATGGGTTATCCAGACAGCTGCCTATGGATTGTTCTTTTGTTCTGTCATTTAATCTTGTTCAGGACTAGTTCAAACCTCAGTGTGCAAAGTAATTCTTGTCCAGATTTACAGACACCAAATCTTATTTACTGTGCTTCATGGTCAATTTCAAGATGGCTCAAGGGTATTTTCAGGGCATCTGGGTACAAGTAAACAACTGCTCCCAGCTCAGCTTATCTCAAGGAAATGATGAGGTAACTTACTATAATTCATTTTTTCCAGAAAGTGGCCACTTTTCAAAAATTCATCCAAAGGTACATACTGAGTGGCTATGGTCCTGATTATTTTGACTACACATGATTCATGCCATAGGAGCTGATTTCAAAATTTTGAAAGAGAGCTCTAAGTACAGTATTCTTTTATGTATTTACATACCCTCCTCTCTCTTCATTGGATTGTGAGCTATATATGCTCAGCAGTCTTGTTTAATCATTTCTGTATCCACAGCATCTCACTCAGGGCCTGGAACATAATGATTATTAGTAAAGAATGACTAGTGTATACTAAAGCTTCAGTAAAACTTAGAAAATAAATTGAATTTAACCAACATCTAACAACACAGCTAATACATGTCAGCCATGTCGTAATAATCACACAGTATTCATAAAATCCCTCTAAAGTAGGCATTATCATTTACATCTGTATCTTCCACCTTTAGCTAAGGAAATATATATACTTATTTCACATATTTTATTAACATGAATATATTTAACAGGATTACAATCATAATAAGATCTTGTCTTTGCTAAAATATTAAACAATAAATACTAGTCTTTGTCATTATATATTATTCTTAACATCTTTTAATAGTCTATAAAAGAATATCCCCTCATATCAAAGTTCTGCTCTGATATATTAAAACATTCTTCTATGGCTTGATAGTTAGACTCTAATTGTCACTGTTAAAAATAACATTTCAGTGACTATTCCAGTAGGTAATCCTTTGCCTTAATCCCTCATAATTAACTTACAATAGAATCCAAGATGTGAAATAACTGGGTCAAAGAGAATGAGCTTCTAAAGACGTGAGATACGCATTCGTGTTCTTAAAATTTACCTAGTACGTTTTGTCTATTTAAAAGTGATAAATTTAAGTTTAGAGTATACTTGGGTTATTTACTCAGGAGTTGTTCTATTGTTTTTACTGGCATTTGCTTTTAATAGTATTTCTATTATTATTACTGTCACTACCATCAAAGGCTAAGATTTATCAACTACTTACTGTACTGCTGGGCCTGGCAATTTACATGTATTATCCACTTAAGCTTTACAACAAGCTTACAGGGTCGATAGGAGTGTCAGCTCCTTCTTGTGTGTGACACACAGAACCTTAAGAACAAGGCTAGTGACTGAATCCCTGATCCATGTATTCTTAAAGCAGTGATTTCAACCACGTTCCAGCTTCCTTTCAACAAAGGAATCTCCCAGGCAGTAGTCACTTGGAGTATAAATGCTAGGATGAGATAATAATAACCCTTTCATTTGTAAGGAAGATAAATCACAACGCACATTGCCTTAGTCGTTTTCTTGTAGCAGAGACATAATACCTGACACCTGAAATGCAAAGGAGGAGAGGTTTATTTGAGCTCACTTTTCAGTCCATAGTCAGCTGTCCCCAAGGACCACAGCAGAGGAGAATGGCGAAGGAGAGAACACGAGAGGGAAGAGAGAGGCAGGGGAGGGAGATGCTCTTCCAGGCCATGGCCTCAGGGACCCACCTCCTTCAACAGGCTCCCTCTCCCAACATCACATTTAGCTGTAAAATCATCAGCGCACTATTCCACTAATATGTAGCATGCCCCCATGACCAATCACCTTCCAAAAGGCCCATCTAGGAGTGCATGAGGCTCTGGGGGCACATCTAGAGATTAAACCGTAACACACATCCACAGGAACTTTGTCCATCGATCACCAAATCACCTCTGCATATTGGAAATGGGATACTCTTTTTTTCTAACACTGCCTGTCAGCTAGGTCAAAGAGCCAAAGAGGAGAAGACAGAAAAAAGACAGAGACATAGAGACATAGAGACAGGGGGGAGTAAGGGGCAGGGGAGATTTCGAAGTTATTGTATTGAAACACTGTCTCACAATGGGCACCAGTAAAAGATTAGGACTTTCATTAAAGCTTGACTTTTCAACGAACAGGGACAGGAAGCACATAAAGAACATGGGCCCCAAACATGACCCAGAGACTAAAAAATCTAAGTGGCGCTGCGAAGTCTCACAGCCACCGTGCTTAGACATTCTAGTCTTGTAATAACAAGAGCTCAATATAACAACCACATCCATCCACCTGCAAAGCCCTGCAACTGAAATCAATGCACACCACAGCTGTATAACTACATTTCTACATTTTAAAATACAGTCCAGGTAAGGGAAAGGTTTATATTTTTTTCATCACTTATACTTCTGAGCGTGACACTCCAGAGAAAAATGTTGAGGTTGCAAGAGTGCCATGGGCATATTTTCATGTTTTCCAAACTCCTTTCCCATGGAGAATGAGCTTCTTGCGTTTTCTATAGACAGACTCCAAGGCTGCAGATGTACCTGTCCACACATACTCTGGGGTGGGGGGACTGTCACGTGGTGGCTAAATGTATGCAAACTCAGTCAGACTTCCTGTGTTCAAATCCTGGCTCTTCCTCTAAGATACTAAGGAGGTAAGTAAGTATCACTGCTTCACAATCTTTATCCGTGAAGTGAGGATTATATTAGTGCAAAATTTGTAAAATTGTTATAGGGATTAAGTGACAATGTGCATAGGAAAGAACATGGTAAGTCCTATATAATTGTTTTGCTGTATTATTTTTACTATAACTCTGTCTTGTCAAAAAAAAATCACTTTCACATGATATATTTTTCCTCCTCCTTCTCCAGCTATCAGGTGAAAGGGTAGTTAATATTATTAAGTCCTGTTGCACTCACAACGACAAAAATTCACTGTACCACCCTTGGGTTATTTCCACTTGGAAGAGGAATTACTGAACATTTAAAAGCTGCAATACAAAGAAATGAAATTCTTATGACAGAATTCCAGGTACATGGGGAAGATACATTTTGTAAGAAAATACCTCCTGAAAGTGTCTCAAAACACACCTTAAAAGGTTCAAATTGAAAGCATTGGAAATATGTAGTCTATTCTTTCCATTTTACATGTGGGAAAGCCACACCCCAGACGGGGGATTTACTGACCCTTGAGAACCTGGTATTCTGTCACTGAAATCTAGCTTCATGTCTGTCCATCCAGTACTTCTCCACTAAAACGTGTTATTCATTCTCACACCTACAAACAATTTACAGAACACTCTTGGGAAAAAAATGTGTAAGGGTGAAAGCAACAACAGGATACTTTACTGTCTCGAAGTTTGCTATGGTTTCTATCTAGATGTCCCCCAAAGCCTACTACACTTGTAAGTGAGGCTTTGGGGAGGTGATTGGATCATGGGGCCGTGACACTCGTCAATTGATTAGTTTACTGATGAGATTATAGCATGGAGTGAAGCATGGCGGAGGAGGTGGCTCACTGGGGACTTGGCCTGGAAGGGTCTCTCCCCTTCGCTCCTCCCTTGGTCTCTCTCTGCTTCCAGCTGCCAACCCATGAGCCATTTCTCCACTGCCCTATCCCTTTGTCATGCTGCCATGTGTCAGAGCCAGCCCACTGTAGACTGAAACTTTTACAAACTGCAAGCCAAAATAAACCTCTCCTCCTTTAACTTGTGGGTGTCAGGGATTGCATCTCCCTCCAGTCTCCTTCCTGGTGCCTGTTGCTCAGACTTACCTCTTGTTCTTTCTCCTCAGGGTTCCTTTTTTCACCTGGTAAATGGGCCCTGCATACCTCCCACCCAAGTCAAATTCTCCTTTGCTTCTATATGTAAATAAAATCTATTTATCCTCCAGTCTCATAACTCTATTCCTGCTATTTGTATGTATATTTTATCTCCCCTGTTATATTGAACACTTGTCCAAAGCTAAAATCACAACCTACTTCATTTTAGTATCCTTCCCAGCAATCAATATGTTATTTTTATGAAGTGTTTACTGAACTGAATAAAGAAAAATAAATTCTGCATGTCTTATGCTTCAAGAAAAATCTACAGGGAAACGTGTTCATGGTGTCTCTACTGTAAGGCAAATTTGCTTTATTTCAACTTATGATTTGTGTGCATCAGTCATAGATTATTTTTTCAAGTATATGTATCTTCTCCTGTAAAAGATGTTAAAGTTTGTTTTGGTGTGAGTCAGCAACCGGCAGAGTGAGGCATACACATAGGCAGACCCACAACTGGCCATTTCATGCTGACACAACAGCACATAGACCTATTTTCTACGTATTACGAAATACTCAGGCTTCACATGCAAAGAACAGGAAAAGTCACTTGGTTTGTTCTTATGCTAATACTTTTTCAGTGATAACATAAAATGTTTTCATAAGAATAATTCTTATTATTTGGGAAAGAAAAGAGTTTCATTAGCTAAAAAGCCAAATAAGAGAAACATATAATTCGCCTAAGTGGAAATACAAATATTTAGCATATTAAGAAGATGATCATCTTCAAAGGATGACAGAAACCATAATTGAATCCATCTGAAAACATCATTTTAAGCCTATAAAATTAAGAAAAGCATTTCTAATGATTAAACCTACTCTTGGCACAGTTAGGAGAAAAGCAGCTATCATGACCAGGGTGATGAGTAACTTGATGGCAGAGTAAAATTGGCAGGACCTGAAAAGTAGAAAACCAAAGCACCAAGAATCATAAAAATGTTCTAACCCTTTAGTCCAATGAATCTATTTTGGTGACTATGTACTCCAAAAATAATTGCATGGAAGAAAAGCTGTGTATGTACAACAGTATTTATTGCAGCATTACTAAGACCAAAATAAAGGAAACAGTCTAAGCATGAAACAATAATGCAATGATGTAGTGCAATGCAATAGATCAACATAATGGATTTTATACTGCTACAATTATTCTAACTACAGAAGTGGACAAAGTGTTTATGATGTACAGTTAAGCAAGAAATGCAAAATATAAAATGGTGCATAAACTATGATTTCAACAATGTAAAAATATGTATGTAATGAAGGCATGGAGACTGTTATATCAAAATGAAAACCACTGTGCAGTAGTTATATTTACATAAGTAATATCATTAAAATATCTTAAAATTTCATAATTCGTATTGCCTAAGCTACTTTTGTATCAGATATTAGCTTGCTAACTTACCTAGTTTCGAATACTCTTCCACTATTATCTTATTAAGTAAGTTAATGTGTTCATTGGGAACCATAGATGACGTATTTATCCTACTACTGTGATACTAAATTTAAGCCATGTCCTGCACCCCTACAAATGCATGAGGTCACATTGTCATTGTTTTATCAGAAACGTCCCCTAGGAAGCCCTCTTTCAGGGATTCTCACAAACTTGGTTTTTTTTACTGTGTGCTCCACAATCA